TGCTTGTATCCCGCAGCAGAGGGCCTGGGTTCAAGTTTTGACTCTGCTCCCAATTCTAGTTTCCTGTTAATGCACATCTAAAGGGGTAACAGGTAATGGCTCATGGAGTTGGATCCCTACTACCCACAAGGGACACCCAGATTCAGTTTTGGGCTCTTGACTTCAACCTTGCCCAGATGTGGCTATTGAGGGCATTTGAAGACTGAATCAGCAGATGAGAGATCTCTTTCTGTCTCTCTTTGCCTTTCAAAGTAAATAAATAACTTAAGAAAAAGAATATCAAGTAAAAATCAAGGAACCCCTGGGGCCAGCACTGTGCTCTAGCAGGTAAAGCCACTGCCTGCAGTGCCAGCATCTCATATGGGCACTGGTTCAGGTCCCGGCTGCTCCATTTCTGATCCAGCTCTCTGCTGTGGCCTGGGAAAGCAGTGGAAGATGGCCCAAGTCCTTGGGCCCCTGCACCAGCATGGGAGACTCAGAAAGCTCCTAGCTCCTGGCTTTGGATCGGCCCAGCTCCGGCCATTGTGGCCATTTAGGGAGTAAACCAGTGGATGGAAGACCCCTCCCCCCACCTCTGCCTCTCTGTAAATATGCCTTTCAAATAATAAATAAATAAATCTTTAAAAAATGAAGGAACCCAAATATATTTAATTTATTAAATTAAATTAATTAAAAATAAATTGATATTTGTTCAATAATTGTAACAAATGTACTATAGTAAGTTGTTAATAACAGGGAACATTGCACAGGGATAAACTATAGGGATCGGTGCTGTGGCATAGTAAGTTAAGCCTCTGCTGTGGTGTCAGCATCCCATATGGGCACTGGTTCAACTCCCCTCTGCTCCACTTCCGATCCAGCTCCCTATTATTGCACCTAGGAAAGCACTGGAAGAAGCCAGGAACTCGGAGCTTCTTCCGGGTCTCCCAAGTGCCATCTTCCACTGCATATGGGATGGTGACACTGTAGGTGGAGGCTTAGCCTTCCATACCACAGCACCAGCCCCCACACAGGCACTTTAAGGAGAGAGAGGGGGGCCAGTGTTGTAGCTCAGTGGGTTAAGCCACATCTGCAATGCTGGTATCCCATATGAGAGCTGGTTCAAGACCCGGTTGCTCAGATCCAGCTCCCTGCTAATGTGCCTGAGAAAGCAGCAGAAGATGGCCCAAGTGTTTGGGCCCCTGGCACCCACATGGGAGACCCAGATGAAGTTCCAGGCTCCTGGCATTGGCCTAGCCCATCCCTGGACATTGCAGCCATTTGGGGAGTGAACCAGTGAATGGAAGATCTCTCTCTCTAACTCTGCCTTTCAAATAAATAAGTAAATCTTAAAACAAAACAAAACAAAACAAAAAAAAAAAACAACTAAACTAAGTGAAAAGAAAGTTTGCTACTCACCTGCAGGCTAATTCTGAATTACATCTAAAATAATTCTGAAACACTAATTTCAGGCTACTGGAAGATCTGGCTAAGTGTACCCTAAGGAAGGATCTAAGCTTGTTTACTGTACACAAGGAAAGACAGATACGAGTGTACAAATAGTTAAATAGTTTATTTGACAAACTCATCTCACCAAATGGTTTCATTTTCTGAGAGTAATTCTGAAATGTAGCTCTAAAATCCAGAATCTTTCAGAGCAAATTATTTTAAATTTTTTTAAAGGAGTAATAGTAGAGAGATCTTCTTTATAAACTTGATCTGCATTTCCCTGGGAAAAGAGCCAGCGTTTCCACTTCACAGGAATGGATTTGCATTCTCCAATTATCTCCAACTTGAAGGTTACAGAGTAAACTCAAAGGGGGGAGGGGAAGTTTACTGAAACAGCTGTAAACACAAACTAAAGTAATCAAAGCAGTGTTTGGAGGCCTAAAATTTGGCCGCCCTTCACCCCTTAAAACAATCAACGGCCTCACAGCAGGGTAGGACCCTACACTATTCCAATAATTTACATAAGAAATTAGCAACCAAAATTTACATCTGAATGGTAACCCCCAGCAGCCCATCAGGTGTTAAGTATCTGCTTATCTAAATTGCCTCTAAAAATAGCTTTACCTTCCTTTAAGCCTTAGGTAAATAGAGAGTTTCCCATGAAAGGAAGGTGGTATGCCGAAACAAGTCCATGTCCCGTTCACTAACATTTTTACAGGAAAAATTTCAGGGCTATTCTCCTGTTCCGTAAGAAGACTCGTAACGAGTCATATTGAAAGAGCCATATGCAAACTATAAATCATCAAATTATAAACTGCTTTTTTAAATATCGCCTCCCCCAAGAGAATGAAAGTGGGAAACAAATAAGCAGTATTAATTATAAGAACCTAAAGTAGCTGATGTACGAATCTAAGGGTTTTTGGGTTGTCTTGGAATTTGAATTCCATGCTTGGGTGGGATAGTTTTTGTTCTCAGAAAAACTGCACTTCCTTTATTTATTTTTGAAATAACTATTATTCTTCCTGTATGCTTCCCATGCTCTCATGTTTTAAACTTTAAGAAATACTTGCTCTTCTCTAAGTCTCTGAGTTGATATTTTGCTGGGTACTAAATAATCTGTATTTGGTTATAAATAATACCAGTGCCAGATACCCCAAAAGGCAATCTAAAAAAAACAAAATAAAACAAAAACAAAAAACACCTAGCGCACAGGACAGGCAAGAGGACTTCTTCCTCATTTTTTAATATAAAATTTTATGGTTAAAAATTATCCTCTAAAACATTCACTCTGATTCTATTTAATTCTCACACATAACATTTTCAACCATAATCTAATGATACTTAATCACTACTTCAACCTCTAATTTGTTAGGTAATATACACGTTGACTGCTCAGTTAAATAAAGGTATGAAAATGCAGTTAAACCAGGAATGTCAGTGTGTCCTTTGGCGTCCCAGCACCTGTACTTCTAATGTAACTTCCAGTTACAGCGTCTGTGAGGTAGAGGATGATGGCTGAAGTGTTTGGGCCCCTGCACCCCATGTGGGGAACACTGATAGAATCCCTGTTCCTAGTTTTAGCCTGACCCAGCTTAGCTGCTGTGGGCATTTGGGAAGTGAACCAGTGGATGGATGGAAGATCTCTTTCTCTTTCTCTTTTTTTAAATAAGCATTAAAAATACATATAAAGCAAGTAAGTAGAAAGATAATGTTAGTCACCTGCTGCACCTTGATAGGTTTAAAGACCTGCTTTACATCAATAAGGAAGAAATCCATATAAATCTAGGCAAAAGAAACCAATCATGTGTGGAAATAAATTCATCAGGAATGATGTGCCAGAGGCAGGTCCAGCACTAAGAGTGATCATGCTAACTGCTAGAGACCTCTGTAGTAAATCAGGCACAGATAAACTAGAATTACAGAGGTGTCCAAACTCCTTAGGGAATTTTGACTCCTGTACTGTTTATCTTATTCTCAAAGGCAGGGGAGGGGGGATAAAACTCCTAAAAAATATAAACTACTTATCTTCTTGCTTTGCATGTGTGAATCTGTAGTTAATTCTAGATTATATGGACTTCAAACTTTGGAAGGAGGCTGGCTGTCCTTAGATTTCTTCCTTCTTCCCCTTGTCTCCTTACCCCCAAGATTTCCATGCACTGACCACCCCAAGTCCCTGTCACACCAGGTATCAAAACTATGCTGGGGTAGGGTTTTAGCCCGCCAGTTGGGATGTCCATGTCCCCCATTCAGAGTACCTGATTTTGGTGCCTGGGTCTAGCTCCTGACTCCAGCTTCCAATTAATGCAGAACCTGAAATGCAGTGGTGATGGGTCAGGTGGCTGGGTCCCTACCCACATAGGGTAATGACCTAGATGGAATCTGGGTTCCTGGATCCTGCTTGGTCCAGCAGCCCCAGCCATTGTGAGCTTTTGGGGAGTAAACCACAAGACTCTGTCTCCCTGACACTCACATAAATAAATAAAATTTAAAAATACATTAAAAAATTATACTCCAGCTAACCTGGGTAAAGTGGAATCCTTGTGCTAACTAGGTTGAGATGGCCAGAAAATTCCACTGTATAATATCAGATGGAAGAAATAAAAGTATAATTTGTGGTATTACCAAAACAATGAAATACCAAAAAATGCTTCATACTAGGATTTTCTTTTTTCTTTTCTTTTTTTTAAAGATTTTATTTATTTATTTGAGAGGTAGAGTTACAGACAGTGGGAGGAAGAATCAGAGAGAAAGGTCTTCCTTCCGTTGGTTCACTCCCCAGATGGCCGCAACGGCTGGAGCTTCGCTGATTCAAAGCCAGGAGCCAGGAGTTTCCTCCAGGTCTCCCACGCAGGTGCAGGGGCCCGAGCCCTTGGGCCATCTTCTACCACTTTCCCAGGACACAGCAGAGAGCTGGATTGGAAGAGGAGCAGCTGGGACTAGAACCAGTGCCCATATGGAATGCTGGAGCCACAGGCAGAGGATTAATCTACTGCACCACAGCACCGACCCCTAGGGTTTTCTTATTAAAAATATGGTTAAAGCCTTGGTGGGACAGAAGGATGACAAATGATATTATATAAATATTTACATTTTTGTCCTCTATAAATTTTTACATTTATATTGTTTATAAAATATTTAAATTTTGCCTCTATCCTGAATGAGCATTCAAAATAATGGTATATATAGAACATCTTCTATCTCTGTTAGTGTTTGGAGGGTAGAATAGAAAGGAGCAGGAAAAGAGAACACTGGAAAGGTTGCTAAGAAAGTCATTTTTGGGGGAAGCACATGGAGTTCTAGAAAAGCCTTGACCTGTGTCTGGACTTGGCTTTGCCACAGATTATCTCAGAGAAGTCATTGAACTGTGAATCTCATTCTCTTCATCTATAAAATACTTGCCTTTCTTGTACACGCCTGCTGTGAAGTCAGTCATAGGAGACAATGGGAGTGAGAACATAATCACTCTTCATTCCTGTCCATAATTACCAGTTTCCAGCCATGGAATGGTTGGAAATTCAACAGACAATATAAGAGGGAAAAAAATCAAAGAAAAAAACAAAACCAAAACCCACCGTCTGTAGTGCAAGATCCTTCCGGGGCAGGCTTCTGTGAGTAGGGGATGGGTGGGCTGTTTGAATCTGACATTTCTTCATCATCTTCGTCATCTTCCATCTCATTGACTGCTAGATTGTTAGAGAAATCCAGGCTTCCATTTTGGGTGTAGCGGTGTACCAAATCTTTATCCAGATCCTCCACTTTGGGTTTCACATCTACGTAGGCACATAAATCAGGGCAAATTCCGTCAAAAGGTGCTTATTGGAAATATAATAAGAAAAAGTCATAGTTCTAAAAGACAAATATGAGGAAACAGAAACTAGCATTATTTTAAACATTATTTAGCCAATTATTCTCAGAGGTCCCACGCTTTGGAATCCTCAGTTCTTTTAGAATGGGTCTAGAAATACATGTGACTGAGAAACTTACCTGCAGAGGAGAAAGGATGCTGGTCAGGGTCCAAGTATAGCTGGGAAAAAATTGGCTGTGGTACCACACTACTACATCTGAGGGAGGCTTCTATGGAGTTGTGCAGCGCTTCCTCAAATCGAGCAGATTTCAGTTGCCCAGCATATGAATTCCCCATGGTCTACATCAGTCCATCCCAAAGCAAAAGGGGAACAAAGGAGAAAATCAGTATAATTAGAGGTTGTATGTCTGCAAAGTACATGCACAGCTAATATAAAGTATATGCATGTGTCTTGTTGCATTATGAACTATATGAAATACACATTTTTATTAAGATTACTTATATAAATTAACATATCACTTGTTCACTTGTGCTTTTTTATTTATTTTTTTTGATAGTCCAAACCCATGTCAAAAAGCTCTGTTGGACCAGTGCTGGTGCAGGTGGGTTAAGCCATCGTCTGCAGTACTAGGATGCCACATGGCTGACGGTTCAAGTCCTGGCTGCTCTGCTTCCAAGCCAGCTCCCTGCTAATGTGTGTGGTAAAGCAGTAGAGGACAGCCCAAGTGCTTGGACCTATGTACCCATGTGGTTGACCACAATGAAGATCCTGACTCCTGGCTTGCCCTAGCCCAACCCCAGCCATCTGGGGAATGAATCAGGGAATGGAAGACCTCTCTCTCTCTCTGTCTTGTCAATCACGAAGCACAACCTGATTAACAAGGGTACTATGCCTCCTCCTTAAAAACGGTAGGTAGGGCTGGTGCTGTGGCATAATGGGTAAAGCTGCAGCCTACAGTGCCAGAATCACGTATGGGCACTGGTTCGGGTCCTGGCTGCTCCACTTCCAATCCAGCTCTCTGCTGTGGCCTGGGAAAGCAGTGGAAGATGGCCCAAGTCCTTGGTCCCCTGCACCCTTGTGGGAGACTCAGAGGAAGCTCCTGGCTTCTGGCTTCGGATCAATGCAGCTCCAGCTGTTATGGCCACCTGGGGAGTGAGCCAGCGGATGGAAGACCTCTCTCTCTCTCTCTGCCTCTCTGTAACTCTGCCTTTCAAAAAAATAAATCTTAAAGAAAAAATGGCAGGCTACTGACACTCCCTCTCAGTTGTATTTGTGATTTCAGAGTAAATATCTAAGTACTGCTCTGTCTAGTAAACTCTATTACTCTAGAGGAAAAAACAAAGACAAAAAGACTCTCCTAGTTGGGTATGTGTGTGAGAAAACTTTATGAATATATTTAACATACTTTTGAAAGTAAAAGTTTAGCCTTTTGAACTCAAATAATTCACTTATTAAATACCACATATTATTAGTATTTATTTGAAAACTATTGTTTCTCTTTTGAAGCACTGACCTTCACTTTTTGCCAGTAATATTTGTACTATATAGTACTTGCTAGTTACAAAAATTTCCATGTATAGCAATAATGTACAGTTTTTTCAGTGCTAACTACTTGTTAGATCAATGATTCTCTAAGTATGGCCTAGGGGCTGCAAGATCCTTTCAGAGATCTATGAGTTCAAAGCTATTTTCAAACCATTACTAAGATATTATTTATTTTTCAGTCACTCTGTGCCTAGAATTTTTCAGAATCTGCAAAATGTGTAGGCTATTCAACACACTAACTTTGGAAAAATACCTTTTTAAAAAAGATTTATTTATTTATTTGAAAGGCAGAGTTACAAAGAGGCAGAAGCAGAGAGAGAGAGAGAGAGAAAGTCTTCCATCTGCTGGTTCACTCCCAGATGGCCGCAGTGGCCAAAGCTGGGCTGATACGAAGCCAAGAGGCAGGAGCTTCTTCCAGGTCTCCTACATGAGTTCAGAGGCTAATTAGTTGGGCCATCTTCTGCTGCTTTCCCAGGTGCATCAGCAGAGAGCTGGATCAGAAGTGGAGCAGCCGGGACTAAAACCAGTGCCCATATGGGACACCAGCACTGCAGGCAGTGGCTTTACTCACTACACCACAGCGCCGGCCCCAGAAAATACATTATTTATTTTATTATATAGTGTCTTATTATTGTTAGTTTTAATTAATATTTTTTAAACTTCTTAGTTTCAATTTCTAATAAATATAATCTGCACAAACAAAAACTCAATGGTGGGGGTTTCCTCCATAATTTTTAACGGTGTAAAGGGATTCTGAGACTAAAAGTTTGAAAACTACTAGGCTAGGCAGTGTACTTCATAAAAGTTATCTAATGCTCAGTATTCTGAAGTAGGTATGATTTCTTTCCACTTCAAAGATTAGGAAACAAAAACAGGGACTGTAATACAGCAGGTAAAGCCACCACTTGGGATGCCTATATCCCATATTAGAATGCAAGTTCAAGTCCCAGCTACTAGTCTTCTGATTCAGTTCTCTGTTAATGTGCCTAGGAAGCAGCAGATGACGGCTCAAGTACTTGAGTTCCTGCCACCCATTTAGGAGGCCTGGATGGATTTCCTGGCTTCTGGCCTCAGCCTGGCCCAACCCCAGCTAATGCAGTCATTTAGGGAGTGAACCAGCAGATGGAAGGTCTCTCTCTCTCTCTCTCTCTCTGCCTTTCAAATAAATAAATATTTTTTTCAAAGAAACACAAACAAGCCAAAGGTTGCAGAAACAACACGTAAGAATCACAAATACTCAGCTTGCCAACTGTCAGCAATCGTTAGTTATGGAACCCAACTGCAATCTTCATCATAAGAACATCATAAGAAACTCCATCCCAGTGAGGCTGGGCTTTAACCCATACTCTCAACAGAGAAAGCAAAGTCCCCTCTCCCCGTGCACCATCCTGTTTCATGGTTTCTAACATCACTCATCTAGTAAGAGATGGAGTCAGTACTCAACACTTACCCACTGGTGAATAGTCCTGCACCCCTACTGTACAAGCTCCACTTGGGTAAATCTCATTTCAAGGTAGGCAATTTTCATAGACTTCAGTCTCACTTCTCCCACCAAGGAGAGGGACAGGTATTAAATTTCAACTGGGAAAGCCAACTCTGATAGACTCTGGAAAGGAAGTCCCTGGAGCACTTGTTGACAGGGGACCTGAGTGGGTTCGTAGGGAAAGGGAGCCATGATCCAGTGAGCCAACTCATTAGCAGAGAAGGCGACAGATGGCACATCACAGCCATGCTCTCAAGTCCCCCAGAGTGACACACAGGGGCTCCACAGGAGATTTTAGTGCCCCTGAGCTGCCTTTATACAGCAAAAAGGCATCTCATATGATTCCTGGAAGCCTCGAGTAGTCTACAATGATTTCAATCACTGTGGCTGGGTTTGTCACAGCTTTACTAGAGGTTCATAAGATTTTGAGGAAATCAGAATCCTATTCCTATTTTACCACCCTTTCTTGTAATAGGAAACAAAAAACTAAATGTCATGGATTTAAAGTACTAGATTCCTTTCTTTTAAAAAATATATACCTGAAATACACAACATTTAATTAAGAGTTGTAAACAGAAGAAAATCAACCATTTGTCAAAATGAAAATTCCTTGAAATACCAAGTTTTAGCCAAGCTCTTAAGACTCCTCACCAGTACAATTATAAACATTTACATTTTCTAAAGATCAAAGACAAGTGATTTTACAGTAGCTCCAAAAGTCATTAAAACAGAGTGGGAACTGGAAAAGAAAAATGCTGTGCCACTAGTTTATATCTCGAACTCAAAGTCTAATAGCTGGGGACAGTGTGTGGCATAGCAGGTAAAGCAGCTACATGAGATGCTGACGTCCCATACAGGCACCTGTTCATGTCCTAGGTCCTCCACTTCCAAACCAGCCCCCTGCTAATGGCCTGGGAAAAGCAGAAGAAGATGGCCCAAGTGTTTTGGCCCCTGCCACCCATGTGGGTGACCTGGATGGAGCTCTTAGCTCTTGGCTTCAGTCTGGCTTAGTAGTAGCCATTGTGGCCATCTAGCAGATGGAAGATCTGTCTCTCCCTCTCTCTCTGTAACTCTTACTTTCAACTAAATAGATACATCTTAAAAACAAACAAACAAATAGCCATTTCTTCTTTGTTAAGGAAGAGAGCGACCAGGAACTAACACAGAGATATCAGTGAACAAGAGAACTTCAAAGATAGACTTTACTCTTTTTCCAGAGCACCAAACGCCTGGAAATCCTGCCTCTTCTTAACCTACCACCACCCTAACAGATTATCTTTCTTTTATCATTGAAAGTCTTTTTTTATCATTGAAAGTCTTTTTTTTTAATTCTTTTTTTTTTATTTTGACAAGCAGAGAGAGACAGACAGAAAGGTCTTCTTCCGTTGGTTCACCCCCCAAATGGCCGCTATGGCCGGCGTGCTGTGCCAGTCCGAAGCCAGGAGCCAGGTGCTTCCTCCTGGTCTCCCATGCAGGTGCAGGGCCCAAGCACTTGGGCCATCCTCCACTGCACTCCCGGGCCACAGCAGAGAGCTGGACTGGAAGAGGAGCAACCGGGACTAGAACCCGACGCCCATATGGGATGCTGGTGCCGCAGGCGGAGGATTAACCAAGTGAGCCACGGTGCCGGCCCCAATTGAAAGTCTTAAAAAGCTACATTCTACAAGATGTCTTTTTAGTTGGATAAAGAAGTCCCAATGACACATGGAGAATCACATAATCTCAATCTCTTCTTCTGATAGTTTAAGGAGTAATAAGACAGATACATAGGCACAGGGTAAGTAAACATTGCACTGAATAAAAATATTAAATCAACATAAAGTGGGAATAGAGATTTATCATCTTAGGAAATATACATAATCCTACAAAAGCAGTAGAAATACTCAGCTGAAGACAAGAAGTACTCATTCCCTGTTCAGACTTGGTAGAGTAAAAGGTAGCACTTGGCTCTATTCCAAATAAAAACAACTGGGCAATTAAAAAAACGATAATGATAATGTAAAGGATTATAGAACTGACCGCAGACTTCTTTAGTGCTGACTATGGAGTTCTGCCCTTGACAGTTCAGCACTGGGTGGAGTTCAAAGTCTTTTTAGGGTAATATATTCTAAATACCATGTGCCGAAATATTTAGGGTCATTGAAATTATTGGCATTATCCTGTTAGACTACCAGCCCTGTTTTCCTTTGAATTTCAAAGAACCCCAAAGACTAGAAATAGTTCAACATCTGACTAAAAGTGTAAATAAATTTGACTTTAGGAAGAAATGGAAAAATATTTTTCATAGAATTATAAATCAAATGCAACAAG